TTTAACGGCCATTGCAACAACATCGTCACCGGGCTTGTTGAAGATATAGCAATTGCGAAACATCGTGAAAATGTCATCCAGGCACTCAGATGCACATTTGTAAAATTTTAAGTTGAGCCTCTGTTTGATCGTGCCGAGGTCCATCGGATGTTTGATAATTTTCGGATAATCCTACGATAGTAACTTAAAGCTAGAAGCAACTTACTGGAAGGTTGAGCTTCTGATGATCCACTGGTTTAAGAAATGGCCAAACCAACTGATCCTTCTGAAGCGCCGTCACAACATGCTTCTTAATGTATTCCAATTGATTTGTCATAATTTTAGTAGGTCGCGCCTTGACGCCATGCATGGCGTCCATGTTTAGAGCCAAAGGCAGCGCAAATACGCAATACCTGGAACACGAAGACGAGGCAAGTTAACAACCATGAGAATTTATTTTTAAAACTTAAATATTAACGCAGATCTTTTAGGGTGAGCCTGTCTACACAAATATTGCTCAGGACACTGAACATGTGTCCTAACTCCTCACCTACTATGACGCTATATCTACACAAACGCACGAAATTTTCTGACACAACAGAACACAATTATGCATATTGTTGATTTAGAAAGCTTTAAAACGCAAAATAATACGTAATAACTCGGTTCAAATCATCAGCAAAACAAAAATGGCGAACCGAAAGTAACTTAACCGGACCTCGCGCTACTAACTCAAACAATCGATCAGTTTTTTATGGGATATAATCCTGTTGATGATATTTTAATTAATGAGTAGTTAAGATTGATCACATTTATTGGAACGATTGCTTGAGTTACCATACACTTTATGCTCTTCGCTTATGGGATTGTCCAACTTAGCTTTCACCATTTGATCAAAGAGCATTGTCGCTCAAGCTGGACCACACGCGCGATTACTCGGTTGCCTCGGTTATCAGAATCCGCTCTTCATTGGAATATGTGCATTGGTGAGCTCCCACGTAAGATTCTAAAAGGTATATTTACGGTCTGAGTCGAAAAATTGAAACAAATTAGTCGCAAATAAGCATTGAAATGTGGATCGTTAGTTAGGTTTGATGGATTCTGGTTATGTGGGTGCAAAACCAGATCTCTCGCAAGGGGGTCAGCAGTAAATACCTATTGGTGATACCAGAAAGTTAATAAACTTCAGCCAATCGCCAGATTGCTTGGCATGAAAGGGCCGTCTGGGCGCCTCAAATATAAAGTTTACACATATGCATAAGGCTACGGGCAGATTGTATTTAGATACTGACTGTTTAGTCGGGTTTTAGTGATTCAGAGTGCGAAGCCAGATATGTTGCAAGCGGGTCAG